GTAGGTATGAAACCATCTCAGTACCTGGTGGAGCCTAATTAGAATGCTTGAAATCTTTACTCATTTCCCATTATCCAGCTAGATGAAGGGTGCCAAAGAACTTAAAAGCTGGAATAATAGTTTGTGACTTTTGAGTCAGCATAAGGAAAAAAAAACACACACATTCTTCTGTTGCCCAGAGAGCAGGATGATTTAAATAAATCATGGATTAAAAATCAGAAATGGATCTTTCTCATGGATTTAAATCAAATTTCTCATGTGTTTTTCAGATATTCCATAAACAAAATAAGTTCAAATTTGCGATATAATCATTAACAAATACTGATTTCAAGTTGTTTATATGTAAAGATACTGTGCAAACCCATTTCCTAAAAAACTAATTTGTCAGAATCTTTTTAAATGAATTTCCTAAAACTAAGGAATGGGATAACTGAGCTCAGGTTGAGTACAAATAGATCTAAGGATTCCAACAAATGGGATTTGCCTCTTTCTTCATCTTTTCTCAGTGGTTTCCTTCACCACCATGTGATCCTTCATCCATTCTTCCAAGCCCAGGTCACTGGAATTCTTTGCTGGAGGAACTCATTAGGCAGGAAATGTATTGCAGCTTTCTCAGTAGTGGCACCTTGCCTGTGGACTGGTCTCCTTACTGACGCTCAGCTGGTACTAATGTACTAACATTTTGATACTAGATTTAATCTGAATTTTCTGCTCAGGCTAGTTAAACTGTTATGCTAGTTTATGCTCAGATTGGTTTGCTGACATTCTTATTGCTAAAAGTATAAATTCTATTTAATTAATACCACATCTTTTCATAGCTTGAGACAGTTAATCCAGATAACACATAAAAATACACAGTTCCATTTTTTTTTGAAATGTATCTGGCTTGTCTTAATTGGAGGCTGTTCAACCTTTTTCTTGTACTGTATCAAAAAGTAATCCAATACTTTTTGGATTACTGACCTCATATCCTAGAATTAAAGTCAGGTTAAAATACTGCTAATGAACAACTCAATGCATGCATACATTTTGATGTGCAGCTTGCCCCGACTTTGAAACTACACTTGTAATTTTGTTTGACCTTCTGCACCTTTAGACCACGAACAAGATTTTTGGCGAATTTTGATGTTACTGATCAAAAGATACTAGGTTCACCTGGCTACATTTGTCATCTTCCTAGGTCCCTACAGGTCCAAGCCTAGTTTCTGAGGAAGTGGACTGGAACCAAATAAAGACGCACCAGTTTTAGTCAAGAATCATATCTCTTGGAGGGTTCCAGAAGCAAAGCGTTAAAAACTCCCAAACAAAACCATTTAATTGCTCAAGATGGAGAATTATATGAAAACTACAAAAGGATATTTGCATGGGTGCAATGGACAATAGTCTCTCGAGACGGAAGGACGCCTATTTCTCAAAGGGACAATTCCTCAAAATGTGGTCAACTACATAAATGAAAAGAACCTTGGTGGAATAGGCCAATAACTATCTAGGCAAGTGCTTTGTGGTCAGATAGCTGCCAACAAGAAGCCCACAAGTAAGACATACATGTGACAGTAACTCATACACTCCTTAGTAACTGATATACAGACGTACACTGGAGGGGACACATATTTGTAACTTGGCAGTCAGGCTGTATAAAAATCATTTAAAAAATCAAATTGATTTAATCCACAATTTAAATCATGATTTAAATTTTTTAAAATTAAACTTTTGATTAAATCATTAAAAATTATTTTTTAAAAAAAATTAAAATTGGATCTTTCTTACATTTTAACAAAAATTGATATTTTAAAATAGAAATTGTGATTTTAATCCAGATTTAAATATAACCCACCCTGCTAGCAGTCACTGATATTGTCCATTAATCTCTTAAAGCTGTTCAAGTTGACGGCCATCTTTTGATAGCAATTTCTAAGTTTCCTTTTATTTATTCTGAAACAGCATTCAGCTTCAATGCTTGATACTTAGTTCCAGACATTATAAGACACAGTAAAAATTGTCTCCCTACTCAATTTCTTCACGTAATGCATAGCTCTATATAGCTCTGTCACAAACAGAGCGATATAGAACTATCTATTCAGAGGGGACGAAAGAGGACGAGATGGTTGGACAGTGTCATAAAAGCAACCAACATGAATTTGAACCAACTCTGGGAGGCAGTGGAAGACAGAAGGGCCTGGCGTGCTCTGGTCCATGGGGTCACAAAGAGTCAGACACAACTTAATGACTAAACAACAACAAATTCAGAAGATTTAATGGTAAGTATTTTAACCGACTAAAACCTGGTACAGTGGAGTCTCAACTTATGAACGACTCCACTTATGTACTTTTCGACGTACGTACTTCTCCAGCCGCAAAGTTTAACTTCGACTTGCGGCCGCAGAATCGACCTACGGACCACAAGGGGGATGTGGGGAAAGCGCAAAATTCAAATTTGGCACTTTCCTTGCCTCCCCTTCCAATCTGTAGGCTGCCGATCTGCCTCTGAATGACTTCCAGGGCATCTTGGAGGTTCCCCCCACACACCGCCGATTGTGCCTCCAAAGCACGATCGACGGTGGCGGGGGGATATCCGAAAGGCCTCCCACGGTGGCGGAGAAGCCCTGGAAGGCCTCCGGATGTCCCCTGCCACTGCCGCTGCTGCTGGGAGACATGCCATGCCAGGTGATCCCAACCATGCTCGGACTCCTGGACTTCCCCCGCCACCACCGCTGTCCGAGTGTAGTGTGGCTTGGCTCCCGGCAGCAGCAGCAGCAGCGGGGGACCTCCGGAGGCCTTCCCCGCTGCCATGGGAGGCCTCTTGGAGGTCCCACCACCACCGATCGTGCCTCCGAAGGCTTCCCCAAGTAGGCCCAGTCTACTCCCTGGGAGAGTAGCGGCAGGGAAGGCCACAGGAAGCGGCAATGGCGGCAGTGGGGGACCCCTGCAAGGCTTCGGAAAGGTAAGGTTTAACTTTTTAAATGTATTTTAATTTTTTGTATGGGGGGTATTTTTTCCTTGGGTGGGTTACCGTTTACAGGGTTTTCAATGCATTTCTATGGGAAATGAAACCTCAACCTACAGACTTTTCGACCTGTGGCCACCGTTCCAAAATGGATTAATTCCGTAGGTCGAGAGTTCACTGTATACATAAAATAGGAATCTCTTTAGAGTTTGAAACCGTTCTAATTTAAAGTTAAGAATGGTCAAAATGTTGTGTTTTCTGTTCTTCACAATAAATCAGTTCTAGTTTTTTTTTCTTATCACTCAATTCAATCAAAATGGTTCATGAACCTTGGCAAAGGTCCAAATAGGCAATAGAATGGATTTTATACTCTGCTGGTGTATACTACACAAAGACTTGAGATTGCATTTTCAGTGTTTGAGAACACAAAGAGAAAGAGAGTGACAGACAGAAATAAAATATGCATAATATTTGAATTATTCTTTTAATTACAAACATTCACAGAATAGAAAGCTGGAAACTATTAATTTGAAAACAGAACATGGTAGGAAATTCATTTTTCTGAGTTTCTTATCCAGAAACCATCTCTCTCTCTTTAACTGGGTTATGGCTCCTGCTGAGAAATTTGCAGTGCAGAAAGAATCCCACAGCTGATGGAGACAGCAAGATTCCTTGTTCAATTAGGATCAACTAAACTCTATGTAATACATTAAAGTCATTACTGCAAATCAAAGTACTTTCAACCAGTTATTGTATCAAGAAAAAAAATGGAATGCTTTTGGAATGTACAGGTGTGATGAAATACTTCCCTGTAATTAATTCTGTTGCTTTACTGTTAGCCTTAAAAGTGTTTTAACAGAAATGTGTGGACTAGTGAAATTACAATAGCTTGAAGCAAATTCTTTCATGTTTTGTGAAACCAGCAAAGAAATACAGCCACATCCAAGACCGCAGATTTCACATGCAAAGGATGTGATTTTGTTTTTACTGATGGTGTTCTTGCTCATCTCCCTGTAGTTCTTGTTTGTGAAGGATATGAATGCCTATGGGAGGCGTGGAGTATCTACAGCCCCCCAGCTCCTGCTATGTTGCAAACTGTATTGGATTGAACCAGCAGGGCCAATAGATAAGGATAATGTGAGTTGTGATCCTAAAACATCTGGAGGGCCACAGGTGATGTTTCTGAAAATGCTTAATGCATCCAGTTTTTTCTCAGCCTGCTCTGATTTCTTTCCCTTATAACTCCAAAACTCTCTTTTCCTCATCCAGTGCTTTGCAGAATTCATTTCTGCTCCCATCACCCTAATTCCATAAGTACATTTTTATAATTTTAAGGCAACTCTGAAAACTTCTGCAACATACAAGGCTTTTTCCTCATTCACTGTACAACATTCTGAACCTAATGGTTTTCTTTCACAATGGTTCTGCTATGGGTTTCTTAAGGATATATTGCTGCAAACATAATATACAGTACTTGTCAGGTTTCCCTCTGTTTTCCACATGAAGTATCACAGCAACAGGTCTTTCACGTGATTAATCGCAAAAGCAAGGTAAAAAAAATTCCGTTACAACTTTACTAAATTCAGCCATTGAAGCTTCATAGCTCCTTCTTTATATCTTTTTAAATATCCCTTGTCCACAGAACGGCTGCTATAATATTGCTCCCAACCTCTTCCAACGGGTAGAAGTTGAAACAATAATAGCATACCAAGGGTAGAAACTCTTTCGTATGTCCATATACTTCATGCTAAAACATGTTAATTGTCCAATCACTAAGAATAACCAAGTATCTTATGTTACATCCTGTAAACCACTAAGAGGTCTAATGGAAATAATGGGAACAGAATTCATGGATAAGTTGTCAACGTCTACATAATTTAAGAGAAATTCTTCCATTAAAAATGTTTTCTAACAGCCTTTGGACTTGAACTGTATCCAGTCTAAACATTTGTTTCTTCATAAACCAGCTACCTTGTCAGCAGCTGAGCAAGTCAAAATGAAAAAGCAGCTTTTCAGCGAGACAAAAAATATTGCAGTATAAAGGAGTCATACTTACATTGGTCACATATTCGATGTCCTTCCACATGTTACACTCCCTGGGAAAGTCTGACAACTCTAAAAAATTATCCACGATCACTTGGCCGATCAAATCATGCCTGGAGAATCGGTCAAAGTCATACACAGAAAAATGGAGTTTCCTTGAACTCAAATCATTGTAAGGAACAGGAAATAAAAAAACTTCATCAAATACTGGGTTTAGGGTCTTTCTATGTACTTTAGTCTGGTGTTTTGTCTTCCTATCTGGAAGCAAGTAGATCTTGACGTAAGGATCCGAAGTTCCAGAAAAATCCTTTGCAGGAAGGTTGACAGCTTTGTGAATCTTCACCATCAGTTGTTCTAAGTCACAGTCATATTTCACAATAAAGTTAAGTCTTCCACAAGACTTGCTATTATTTCTCCGCCCATCGTCTGTGTCCACAGATCTTTGTTTATACAACTCTGGCTTGATGCGCCCAATCCCAGTCAGCTGCTCCTGCTTTTGGATCTGTTGAATGTTGAAGTCTGGGTTTGAGAGATTCAGCTGCCGTCGAATTGAGTTGTGCCTTAAATAAAAACAGTAATATCCATTCATTCTTTTTTTTTCATGATATTTAAAAGTCATTCTGTAACAAAAGGGTTCTCAAAGCAAACTACTGGTGAAACCCAAAACAAAGCATGAACAAATGTTTATGGATCTAATTAAACACAAATATGATTACACTAGTAGGAACAGCATACCTTTGTTTTTTGTTTTTTAAGACTGAGGAATTTTCAAGTCAAAATTCTCCTTGAGCAAGACTGTTGTGGGTTCCCCCCCTTCTTTTATTTTTGTTCCTCCACCACAAAGATAAAAAGTAAATATTTCTGAAAAATTCTGATATTGGAGAACATTTGCACCACTTACTAGTAATGACTGGAAGTAACAGAGATTTCCATTTTGCTTATCTCTGCAAGGAAGAGGACAAAGAAGCAAAGCTGTCTGCTTTCAATCACCAGCTGAATCCTGAAGTGAATATCAGCTGAGAATAGTCCTCCTCCTCTTCTCTGTGAGGAAAGGGAAGGACAGAAGCAAAGCCTGTGGTTCTTGGCTAAAGAGCAGCTAGGGAGATGATGTTTCATCCGGGGTCGAATATGAATATCTCCCCACAAGTGGAAATAATGAGGGTCCAGCCCGATGGAGCTGGACTGTCCCCTCACTGTTCAGCCACTGCCGCAGGCGCAGCGGCATCTTCCTATCGCGCTGTGTTCTGCAATGGATTAGCCACTATGTGACCTGGCAGAGATGCTTGTCATCCTGCCTCTAGCCAGGAGTGGCTAATCCACTGCAGAGCACAGTGCAATAGGAAGCTCTATAGGGTTGGACCCTCATTATTTCTACCTGCGGGGAGATATTCATATTCATCTATGAATACCCTCATCTCTAGTCCTGACAGCGTCAAGGAGCGAGTCCAAAACATGGCCTATGGAAGGTTGAGGGAGGAAAATCCAGCCCTCTAACATAACATGTCCCTCCATGCCTGGCCCAGAAATATGGCACCTTCCAAATGTCAACAGTATCACATAACTAATAAAAACACAGGTTTCAATTCAGCAGCTTATCATAGTTTCACTGGTATTCACTGTTAATTCTTCTTCTGCTTACCAACTAGACATCTGCTGCAGACTTTTCCCCTTGCAGTTTCCCTATTTTCCTGATGGTTCCTCTCACTATAACCTGGAGAGGAACCCACTTTACAGTTGTCAAAAAATACATCTAATTCATATCTCCTTCGTATCTTCCTCTCATAATGTCAAACCGTTTGAGTTTGGTTACCACAGGTACTTAGAAGGTTGACATTCAGTTTCAGTACCCTCCAAGCACCCTCCAAGAATTCTCCAAAGTCCCTTGTGTGGTAACGTGGCTGCCAAATTAATGTTATGCTGCCAAAATTAATAGTTCAAGGTTTCACATTCAGTTTCAGTACCCTCCAAGCATCCTCTAAGAATTTTCCAAAGTCCCTTGTGTGGTAACGTGGCTGACAAAATTCCATTTCAACTTGCAAACGGAGAATCGACGTACAAACCCCCAGGAGGCCTGGTCTACTGCCCGAGGAAAGCTTGGTAGACTGGGTCTCCCGGGGAAGCGGTAGCAGCAGTGGCGGGGACCTCCAAGATGCCTTCCAGGGCTTCTCCGCCACCATGGGAGGCATTTCGGAGCCGCACCACCACCACCAATAGTGGCTCCGAAGAACTGTGTGGGTCAGGCATTCTGGCTTGCAAAGACTGGGCTAAGGTGTGAGTTCCAAAATCCTGCCTATCTGTGTTTTTGCAGAAGAATTGTGTGGTCAGGCATTCTGGCTTGCAAAGACTGGGCTAAGGTGTGACTTCCAGACTCCTGTCTCTGTGTTAAACATGCTTTAAAATTGGCTTCGTTGGAAAAAAAGATTTCAAACTGCTTTTAAAACTGTTCCCTGCCTCCCCCCCTCTTTTCCTGAACTTTTCTTGACCCAAGAAAAAAAGAAGAAAATATCCCCCTCTAGTGGTAGAAGGTGGAATAGCAGCTTCCCATTAGTTTCTATGGACAGAAAAGAGCAGATACGGATTAAATAGTTTTCAATGCATTCCTATGGGAAATGCAGATTTGACCTACAAACTTTTTGTCGTATCTTCCTCTCATAATGTCAAACCGTTTGAGTTTGGTTACCACAGGTACTTAGAAGGTTGACATTCAGTTTCAGTACCCTCCAAGCACCCTCCAAGAATTCTCCAAAGTCCCTTGTGTGGTAACGTGGCTGCCAAATTAATGTTATGCTGCCAAAATTAATAGTTCAAGGTGGTACACACAAACAAAAAGAATCCAATCAGGATGTATTTTATTTCAATCAAATTTATTTGAATTGATTTCAACTTCATTTAAATCATGATTAAAAATGTTTAAAAATTGGATTTTTAAAATTTAAACCATGATTTAAATCAAAATTTTAAATACAAATCATTAATTTTTATTCATCCCAAATTTAAAATTCAACAGAATTTTAAAACAATCCTAAAATGTCAACATGTGAATTGTTTAAAAAGTGTGCCAAAAAAAAAGCCTTCCCTTGACTACATGGTTGACAATGGAAGTATTGTGATAATTTTAAAAGCCCTCCCTCAATTATCTTAAAAATAAAGTTCAAGCATCCAAGAAGGAATCCTGAGACTTGCAGGCTACAATATCTTTTCCTGTTCCTTGATTCTTTAAGTATGAAATGATAGAACTTTGAAAGAATAATTTCGTACGTGAGAATCTTGACGGGGTCAGGTAGCCGGCTCAAGACTGATTCCACCTTCCATCCTTCTGGAAGTCAGTAAAATGAGTACACAGCTCATGGGGGGTGGGGGACAAATTGTTGTTTGCATATTTATGGTGTAAACCACCCACAGAGTGCTCTAGCACTGTGGGGTAGTATCTAAGTTGAAACATCAAGAACTGTGTGAAAAAGATAGGTCAGTGGTTCTTAACCTTTGTTGGATGCTTTTGAACTGCAACTCCCAGAAACCCCAGTCAGGACAGCTGGTGGTGAAGGCTTCTGGGAGTTGCAGTCCAAAACTCCTGAGTAACCCAAGGTTAAGAACCAGTGAGATAGGTAACAAGGTGTGCATTAGACTTCAACCTGTGGGCACACAGAGAGAAGAAAATTGGACTGCAATCCCTACCTTTCTGCACTGTGTTTCACAGCTGTTAAAAAAGAAAAAATCCAGCTATTACTTACAATGTATATCATGTTGCTACCAACATGAATTTGACCAAACTCTGGGAGGCAGTGGAGGCCTGGAGTGCTCTGGTCCATGGGGGTCACAAAAAGTCAGACATGACTTAACGACTGTTGTTGTTTAGTTGTTAAGTCGTGTCTGACTCTTCGTGACCCCATGGACCAGGGAGACAATATACAGCCTTGGCGTACTCCTTTCCCAGTTTTGAACCATACAGTTGTTCCATATACAGTTCTAACAGATGCTGATATGCTTGGCCAATACAGGCAACAATTCACTGAAATAAATGAATCACACAAACCTAATAGAGCCTCTTTTGATTTTAGCATTGCCCGTTGTAATTCATGTTTCCATCTTTATATATGCGTTCCTTTATGTAATTTTGCTGAGTTGGCCTTCCCTGTGTGATTTCACATCCCAACCAGCCAATCAAAGCTGTAGCTGAAACCCAGCATTTCATATTTCTAACTCTCACAAGTGTTTTATTAACCTGATCTATTTTTGCTGAAATCTTTGCAGGGATATATCAACACCTACAAAAGTAGAGATGGTGTAAATGAGCATCCTTTGCAAGACTAAATTGAGGTTGTCTTCACATACTGCGAGCTTTTAACAACCTGGCAATTTTGTCTAGCTCAGAAAAAAAAACAAGAAATCTGTGTGCTTTTCCACCTACCTGTTGCCTACCAACATGGAGCTGTTACAGCAAATTAAATACTTGTTCCAGTCATTAAGTTTGTTCCAATTAATATAACCAATATTCATTTGTCTCAGATATACTAATATTCAGCACACCAGCTGAAAACTATCTGATTTCCACTGTGACGAGGACTGCTCCATATAAATAATGCAAGTCTTAGTAGAATTTATTTGTTTAAAATATTTTTACCCCACCTTTCACATTTAAAATGATCCAGGGCATTTAATTTACATAATTAAATGACAATATTTAAAAGCTAAAATGGGCAAATGTAGTTCTAATCCTCCACTTAGGAGGCTTAGGAACCTCCAACCACCCACTGACCGCTGGGCTAAAGAATATAAGCATTGGTTGTTGTGGGTTTCTCGAGCTCTTTGGCCTTGTTCTGAACGTTGTTCTTCCTAACGTTTCGCCAGTCTCTGTGGCGGGCATCTTCAGAGGACAGCACTCTGTGCTCTGGTGTAGTTGGCTTGAGAGTGGAGTATTTATAGCTGTGAGATAGGCTTTTGTCTTATTCAGGAGATGGGTGATTAGCGTGTCTTGTTGTGGGTGTATTGTTGTGATACAGAGGAGAGATTATCTGTCACTGTGATTGATGGGTGTCATTAGCTGGTCTTTTGTTTGTAGTGATTCCCGATCCTTGTGGCTGGCTAGAGGTTGTTGACCTTTTGCATGCTGTATTTTTCAGAGCTGGGAGCCAAGTTTTGTTGAGTTTCAAACTTTCCTCTCTTTTTTGTTGAAGTTCTGCTGGTGCTTGTGGATTTCAATGGCTTCCCTGTACAGTCTGACGTAATGATTGCTGGTGTTGTCCAGTATTTCAGTATTTTGACCACTGCAGACTAAAACAACCAGAAAAATCTGCAGTAGCTCAACATGCCCTAAAACAAGCTGGACATGAAATTCTGTTTCAAAATACTGAAATACTGGATAAAGGAAACCACAGGCTTTGAAATACACATAGCCTTCTCTTTTGACCAAAATTGCTAGATATAGCAATGAGGCATTGTGCAAAAGCTGAGCAGCAGCAGAAAACAATGGAGAAGTGTCAGCATGGGATCAGACAGAGGGCACCTTATTGACTTCAGGATTCTTTGGAATATGTTTCATGTTCTGAAATGATATAGTGATATAGTCCTAACTATTTGTAAAGGTGTAAAGTGAACAAGGAATAAAGGAGTAACCTTGCTTTATTTGCATCACACAGGATGTTACTTTGTGCTCAGTGTGGGAGGAGGGAGGTCAGGCAAACCTCATAATCCTTTTGCCCTCAGGTGGAGAGAAGGGAGTTATCCCTTAACACAGCTTTTTCTCTTCCATGTCTCTCGACTCCTCCTCTAACCACTGAAAGCTGAAGCTGTCTTTGCCTTCCATGCCATTTCTTTGCTCCCCGGTCTCAGGCCTTCACGCAAGCATCAGCTATTACGGTCTCTTGGGACCAAGATGCCCCACATAGAGCAAGAATGGCGACTCCCTCTTGCTCAGATATTCCTTTCTTTCCCATGATGGATTCTCCTACAACACTTGGTAAAGCAAGGGATGCTCCCAGACCCCGCACTTCAGGGAAATGCCTCCAAATCTCCACTAATCATAGACTGTGAAGGAAAAGATACTTTTGGAACAGCAATGTTTAATACATCACGGCCATTATCCTTATTGTAACAAAGACATTTAAACTATACTGACCTTGCAGAAGGAGTTGGTTCTGTGATTTGTCGATGCATCCGGACATTGTGAACACAGTTCTCCTTGGTCCCTGCCTTGGCATCCAATGGAATGTCAGGAGAGGTGTGGCTAATCTTCATGGAAGAGTCTGGGTAGGTAGCAGGACGTCCCAGGTAATCCTCATTGTATTCAAGGTCATTGGTCTCGGTATCTGTATAGTTCTGGGATTCCTGCTTGTCTTTGTTTCCAAGTAGGCCACGTTCTCGCCAAGGAACCCAACAAAGTTTCCAGGACACAAATAGAGAGACCCCAAACAAAGCAAGTCCACATGCTGTGACAACTAAGGACAGTAAACTCACTGTGATATCTGAAAAGAACATAAACATAATACAAACATGTTAACATTTTTTTAAAAAAATAGGGGTGTGCATTTGGACTTGGAAATTTCTGAAGAGCACCAGACATTGCCTTCCATATTCATACACGGTCCCCATTCCTAGCAAATATCTCCTATGCAAAGCAACATTGTGGTTGCTGGGAACTTTCCTTCAAGTATAAATATATCTGTTGCAGGGAAGGAGGAGACTGAGGAGACTCAGGTGGGCACTATTTTAAAGGCTGTGACACTGAAATGCCTCCTGCCCCTCCAGATCTCTGTTTGTCACAGACAGCTGTGACAAACAGACTAGTTTATTGTAGACCATGGGGCAAACATGGTGGCAGCACTGAAGACTGGGAAGGTGAAAAGGGCACAGAGTATGGCCCTGACTCTCAACCCAGTAGTTTGGGGTGCTTTGCACTGTATGTTACATAAGTGGTCTATGTCCTCTGAAGATTTGAGACTGCAGCACAGGTCCTTAATGGGGAGACGACCATCCATCCTTAGTCAGGCAATCCCAATGTTCCAGGGCTTGGTTAGCATGATGGAGAACATAATGGGCAATAGTTGAGGTGAGTGGGGGATTCTATAGAGGGAGAATGGCAGGTTACTCACCTGTAATTGTAGTTCTTTGAGTGGACCTCTGAGAGTCACACTGTGGGTGATGGAAGGACCATTGTGGAGAGGGCAGGTGAA